AAACTGTGTTTCTGATGATTACTTGTGAGTCACGTGTGTTCTGTATGCCCCGCAGAGGAAATGAGCAAAGGAGTTATAAATTCAAAACATAATCAGGTTACAAATAATAAAGTAGATTATTGCAGGAGAAGTGACTGGCTTTGCATCCCCAGGAAGGAAGACAGGGATGGGTGATTTAATTGAAAAATCTTGGAGACGCTTTGCGATTAACTGTGATATTAATAAAGGGAACCAACCTAAGGCTGTGAGGAGCTTCCGTTCTCGGAGCCCTGAGGCACGCACACACTGTCTCATACCTGCCTTACTGCACGCTGGATGTGGCTTGTGGTTCTGGTTCTTAGGGGTGAACCCAGGTTCTTTGCAAGGAGCTGTGTCTCTAGCCCTTTGCAGTTTAGCCAGGGCCTCCCAATACCCCCATTTCTCAGCCTGGGCTGACACCCAAGATCCTCCTGTCTCAGCCTCTCAGAGTGCTGGGATACAAGAGCGAGCCCCACACCTGACTAGCATGTTCTTTGAACTAAGCTGTCTGATACATTTGGACAAGCAATATTCTGAGATGTTTTCAGGCTTATTTTCCACTTTTCTCCTGCCATGGACATCTCTGCCACTCTGCTATGTCCTTCCTCCAACGCTGTTCTATCCCAGGACCCCAGGAATGCTGTGGCTTGCCTTGCCTGGCCCTTAGCATATAGGCGGGGCTTTGCTACTGGGTTCAGCTTGGGTGCCACCTGTCTGTGAGGTCGCCATTCCAGCTGTGCCCATGCTGTCTCTCCCTTGTGTGCTATAGTTTCAGTGGCTCCTGGCTCACACTGGGGCCTCTGGCTACTGGGCATCTGCTTTTGGCTGTCCTTCCTCCTGCCCAAGGAGCTGGGTCCCTGCCTGGGTGTCCCACTGTGCTTCCTGTGCTTAGATGGCTGCTCTGCCACTGGGCTACCAAGCCCACCCCTGAGCCCCTCTGCAGCCTCTGTGCCCGCTCTGGAGCTCACGGGCTCCTGGGTGGCAGCTCTGGGTGGCGGCTCCTGCAGCCCAAGGGCTGGTCTGTTGCCTCGCTCTACACAGAGGCACAGTCCCAGAGGACTCCATGAAGGCTGTGCCATGGGAGCAGGGTCATCACGCCCTCTGCCTTCACATGGTCCATGCATGTCCAGGGGCACCCGTGCCCATCTTGGGGCCCTGGGCACTCCCTCCCACCTTGGGGTCAGACTGGGTACCCTCTGCCTTTGCTCCTCTTGCCTACATTCCTCCTGTATGAGTGCCGAGGGTCCCAGAGCGCCACGCACCCTCTGCTGCCTCCCAGGTGCCCCGCCTCATCCCTTTCACCAAACCATTTTTGTTTGGGGTCAGCAATGCCACAGTTTCTCCCACTTAAATGGTACCTCGTGACCCCCAGGGTCCTCACTGGCTGCTGTCCAAGGAGCCTTCTCTTTGTGCTGACCTTCATCCCGACCTCGAGCTCCCTGTCCCTGCTGCTCTCTGGACGCCCTCCTCCTGGCCCCTCCTCCTTGTGTTCCCTTCCTACATACAGGTCACAGCTTTCCCGTCTTCATTTTTCATATTGGGATCGGACCCAGAGCCCTCCCACAAAGCGACCTCCTGGCTCTGTTTTAAATTTTGAGACTCATTCTCGCCAGGTCACTAAATGGCCCAGGCCACATGGCACTTGTGACTCTCCTGCCTGGCACTGCAGGCGCACATGGGAGAGCCCTGGCATCCCGGAAATGCGGTGCCCTAGTCTGGAGCTCTCCTGCCTATCAGCTGCCTACTGATGTCCTTTGCATGTGTGTATCTCAGCTAACCTGCATGGTCCCACGCCAAGCTTCCAGCTTTCCCTTCCGAGCCTTCCACACTCTGCCTGTCAGCAGCTTCTGCCAGAAACCTGGATGTGGATACTGTCCATCCCGTGTGGCGGTGAATACCTATGGTGCCACTGTCAGAACCGCCATTCCAGCCCTGCGGCTGCTGCTCGTGCTGCTGTGCCAGCCTTGCAGCCGACACTCCTCTAGAGAAACTGAACAGTGGCGTCTGATGGGAGTGTACCGCCCTTTTCTGTTTTACTTCTGTGGTCATTAAAACTAAGTCAGTGGAACTTGTGGTGCGTGTCAGCCGTGAGGACCACACATGGTGATTTCAGCACCGCAGCCTCCGTCTCTCCACGACCAGGAGGGCTCCTGTCACTGTGGGGAAAGCGCCCCAGCCTGGCCAGGGTCCGCACTCAAGTGTACACACCAAAGTGTATTAACCTTAGAAAGCAGTGGGTGACATTCTTTAAACAGTGTACGCAAAAAGAGAGGAAAAAATGCCTTTCTATGAAGAGCTACAATTTATACAGAAGGGAAAAGAAGCATGAAAGTTTGTACCACTAGAAACCTGACAAGGAACAAACAAGACAGAGGGGAAAACATGAGAACAGCTCTTGCCAAGTAGCTGTAAACTGTCCTGAGGATTCCGTAGGTGAGGGTGAGGGAAGAGAAAGCGCCAGAGGGCGCGGAGCTGCAGCCTGTCCGGCCAGACTGCGCGCTGCCTAAGCCCGGCACAGCTTGGATGCAGGTGCTTGGGCTTGGATTTGCAGAGAGATGGCAGCAGGAGGAGGGCGGCTGTCGTCCTCCAGGTGCCCGTGCAGGAAGGGAAGGAGGCATCGAGGTGGGAGCAGGGGGCCGCGGGAGCCCAGGCCAGTGGTGCCCAGCAGCCAGTTGTCTGGGCATGTGGCTCTGTCACCAGATTTGGGCTGTGTCTCCGCTGCTCCAGAGAAGCCCCAGAAACCTGAGCACCTCAGCCAGGCAGAAGGGTGGTCATGGGAGCCGCCCCGCCTGGCTGGAGTCGCATTGTGTGATTGCCACCTGGTCACGTTGCAGCCGTGTCACTCGGAGAGAGCTTTTCATTCTCTTGGTCTGCGATGGGAAATGAGTTAAGAGTGAGTTCTGAGGAGTGAGCGTGCCGGGAGCCGTGGGCTCTGTGGAGCGCGCTGCCTGCTCCCTGTGAGGTGGGGCGTGGCGACTGCCCGTCTGCGCCGTCCCGCGCGTGCTGGAGGAAACAAGAACTCAGCCAGCAGGAGCAGGCGCAGCACCGCCAAGACCTTCTCTGCTTTAGCGTTTTTTTGTTTCAATTTTTACCTAAAAATTTCATTTAAAACATTTTCTTTCCCAACTAACAGTTTTGTTACCCAAAAAGCAGTCTTTTGTCATTTATCTATTTAGAAAATAGATTTGAATAACACTCTTAACTAAGCAGATAAATGGCTTCCAATATGTCAACATTTGGAAGAATAAATCCGTTTTATTTTCTAAAAATTGTGTTTTATAAATTGGCCCAAAATCAAAACTGAGAAATGTTGGACCTTTTCAGGTTCTAAATTCGAAACGTTCACTTCTTTTTGCATGGATTCCTCTTCGTGGAAACAATTTTCGTTCATCTTCTTATCACATGCACATTTTATCTTTAGGTTTTTCTTAGCAATTAATAGAGTGTAAGAGCTTCCTTGTGATGAACTGCCTGGTTCTGTGTTCCAGAAGTTTATGGGGGTTTATTTCAGGTATAATTACAAGATAAGTGATGCTGATGCTCTTGACATTTATGTAGATAGCTAGCTTGAGAGATATTTATACAAACTAAGCAGCAGGACATCCTGTTGCTGTTGTCAGAAATACAAATGGTGGGTGCTACGCCGGCCTCGCCCCTGGCAGCGAGTCTAGGTGTGGTGGTGCGTGCCTATGATCCCAGCCCTGGGGAGGCTGAGACAGGAGGATTACTAGGAGTTTAAGCTGCATAGTGAGTCCTGCACACAGACACACACCCCTAAAGAAACATAAATGGTTGGCGTGGTTTTCCCACGAGAAGCTCTCCTGTGTGAATGTGCTGGCAGTGTGACTGTCCCCTGTCTTGGAATGCGCCGCTATGGTAGAAGCCGAGGCGAAGGAAAGGTGGCGGCCTGAATTTCCCTGTTTCTTGGCACCGGCTCATGCTGGATGTGCCAGCCACAAGCCCAGTGGGAGGACAGAGAGCTGCTGAATGTCCAGGTGGACTGACATTTTTGCCAAGGAAAACACAGGACATCCTAAGGTGGGAATTTGGATGGGAATTTTTTCTGTGCACCCCGGGAGGGTGACTGGGGACTCAGACAACCAGCACCATCACATCCTGAGGAGAAAGGGAGAAGACCTATAAAAATGGATTCTGTTTAAAGGGCTGGATGTTGCAGCCCTAATGTCTTTCATCCTGGGCTCGTTTAGCCGAGCAAATGGATGTATCCTCAGACTCAGACCTGACATTCCATCACATTATACCATGGGCAGGACTGTCGTGCACCGGGGACAGGGAGCGGGGACATGGCCACCACTCGAAGCTCAGGTTATCTCATTTAAACAGATATTAAATGTGGGCACCAACGGTGTGAGCACCAGCTGCTTCCTACTTTGTGAATAAATTGCTTAGAAGGAGTCTTTTGCCTGCCAGATGTGACCTAGATTTTGATTTCCAAAGGCGAGGGGAAAAACCTCTATTGTATTAAAAAAAAAAAAAAAGAAAAAAACAATTGCTGGTAAAATGCTTGGTAAATGAGCTTATCTCACTTTTCCAGGTGTTTGGGCTAATATGCTCTGGAATTATTGCTTCATTTATGAAAAATAATTGAGGAAAATGTTCCAGCAAATCAAATTTGGATAAAGGCTTAGGAATAGCTATTGTGTTGCTAGCAAGTTTTTAAATGGAAGAAAGAGCAGGAGCTAAGAGAGATAGTAAAAATATTTAAAAGCTGTATTTGAGAAGAGTCTCCTGTGAAAGGGTCAGATGTGGGTGTGCCGCGGTTCAGCCAACTATGGAGGAACAACGCAGACAATTGCCGTCCTTTCAGCGTGCATGAAAGCTGTTTTAAAAAATCAAAGCTCGTCTGTCTGTTGGCTCTGATAAGTCTTATTACTGTGTTCACTGCAGCAAAATTTTAAAAAATGTAATGTCTTTATTCACTCACCTACTCTCTGTCCCTTTGCGTTTTTTTTCGTCTTCAGGGGCTGCCACTCCAAAACCTGTCCCAGAGCCTGAGAAACAAACAGACCATACTGTTAAAATTGCGGGAGTCATCGCCGGCATCTTGCTGTTCGTCATCCTCTTCCTTGGGATCGTGCTGGTAATGAAGAAGAGGTGAGCATCTGGGCACTGCCCGCCCACACTTATGCCCACTGCCTGCCACATTGCTTCACGCACACAATGACATCAGTTACTGAGTTGGCACGGAGGGTCGAGGCCTATCTGGAACTCTATCATTATTAGTATTCTTGGTCAAGTGGTATTCAAGGTAATGGGCAGAATCGCAGAGTAAATGTCTATGGTTTTATAGGAATGTGCAAAACAGTGTCCTGCCATAATGACGTAAGAGTGAGGCGTCTTCCCAGGTGGTGGTGTGTGAAGCTCTAGAGAGCCTTGGAAGCCAGTCGCCCAACAGGAAATCCTTAGTGTCCGGTACATACCTGGTATTATATTTGATGTTCTTGAGAATATGAGAAGCCTTTCATGCCATATTGAAGAGCCCATGGTATGTGCAGGCACCATCCAAGGTATTTGGTTAATGAGCACAACCTCTTACAAAAAAGAGAAATTTGGAAACAATCAACAGAGGAGGCAGGGCACCGCGGCCACACGTAACAAGTCACAGAGCACTGAAGGCTGGAAAATGCCTGCCCAGCCACGGGGTCACCTCAGCAAAGAAGTACATAGATGTGACAATGACACTGTCTGACCTTCTGTACCTGGAAAATATCCAGTGTCATCCTCAATCATAAAGTCTTCGAGTCATAGGAAAATGACCAGCCTAAATGCACATGGTGAGAAGTGGTAACTTTTCCCAGAGGACATGCGTGGTCTTCTTGCTGTTCTCTGGAATTTAAGAATAATTGGAGTTGGGAGTGGAATGCGGGCTCAGAGAGGCAGGTGGTGGAGGTGATGCGTGCAGACAGAGAAGAGTCGGGGGCGTCGTGTGTGGTCGCAGAAGGAGGTTGGTTATGTCCCCACATCTGATGACGGTCTTTCTGAAAGTGGGGCAAGGAGGGAGGGAAACAGGTGTAGACAGGAAGAGGAATTCAGCAGGGAGGAGCAGCTGGAGAACGCTGTAGGAGGCACAGCTTAGCGGCCACCCAGCCAGAGCGTGGAACCTGCCTTGGTTTGGAAGAGTGGAGCCATCGCTGAGCACCAACGCAGGGCAGGAAGCAGGGCACAGTTCTGGGTGCAGACAGTGCTCTGGTTCTGCATGAGCAAGTTCAGGCGCCCATGAAGTGGAGCTGCTCTCTACCAGTGGCTGAGCCAATGTGGGCGGGGGAGAGTCACTTCTGAAATTCTGCACATCCACAGCGGAGGCTCTGGGTTTGGATGAAGTCACTTGGAGTTGCTGTGGAGAGAGGGAATGCAATGCTGGCAAGGACGGCGGAATCTTGGGTGACAGCGACGTGTGGGGCAGAGTGAACGTGCAGCTCCATGTGTGTGCACCCGCTCCCTTTCCTGCTTTTGCTTCATTTATGGTTGTGTCCCCTGCAGGCTCCAGGATGGCGCTGCTGGTCACCTGTGTGGGTGCCTGGTCATGGGCCCCAGTGCCCACTCGCTTTCTTTTTACCCATTACTTAATCACTCTCTTCTATTCTTTCTCTTCATTCTGTTTTATTCCTATTATTTTTCTTTTCATTATCTGTTCTCCATCTCCGTGTTTATGCAGATTCCTAGTTTTCTGGCCCTAAATGGTGGGAGGGGTACTGTAACCAAGCCTAGATATTCAAAATGAACACTGCAGAGAGATTCACTGTAAATTATGGGGTATGTTGGCTCTTGGGTCACTTGGCTGCTGTCTGTGAGAAATAGCTGGAAGTTCCTAAGACACCAGGCCGCTGGGGCCTAGGCTAAATGCTCACTAATCCTCCATGGTTCTGTTTCTGCTGGATTAACTGTCTTTCTACCTAGGTCTCTCAGGTAGGCGCTGAGGTTCTCTTATAAATTATGCATTGGAAGAGGTTGCCTCCGGTAACGTATGGCCTTGATACAACTTTCGACTAACTTCCGGAGGCCTTGTCAGATTCTTCATGATTATGTGCCACGCAGTGATGATAAAGCCTTGTCCTCACAGCATGTGCTGCTGCTGGATTTCCTTTTCTGAAATAAAGAATATGTTCTCCATGAAGTAAACTTCCCCACACACTGTACCTGTAAATACAAAATGTAATGCTCGGGACCTGACCAGCCATGTGCCCAAACCAACATGTTGCATAGACATTCTTAAAATTTTGGATTGTTCAGGGTTTCACACCAAAACTGAAGCTGTCTTGATCACTTTTCTTTTGTGGCTGAGACAAAATACCCAATGCCCAAAATTAAAGAAAAGAAAAGGTTTATTTACCTCACGGTTTGTGAAGGTTTCAGTCTATACTCAAATGGCTCCAAAGCAGAGTAGCATGTGGCAGAGGACAGCAGTTCATGACACCAGAAAGCAGCAAGCTCAGAAAGGGAGGAGCAGAGAGCGCCAGCCTCTTTCCCTCCCTTACGTCGTGCATGGGCTGCCACCTAGGGTGGGTGTGCCACTTGCACCTCTAATCCCAGCATTGGACTCTGAGTTAAGCATAAACTCTAAAAGCCTGCCCTGTGATTGCATGAGGCTTTGGGGGGACATCTAGACACAAATCATAACACTAAATCCCTCGCAACCCAAGGACTTACACACATATCCCCTTATGCAGATGCCATTTTGGGCCATCTCTCAGAATTGCCAAAGTCCTAACAGTTTTAGCATTCCTGAAAATTGTAAGTTCCAAGTCTCCTGCAAGTTGTAAGGCGAACTCTTAGCTGTGAGCCACAGTACAAATGAAAAGTTAAACACTTCCAACACTGGGTGGCACAAGATAAACATTACCATTCTAATAGGTGCAAACTGGGGAATATATTGGGGCCAAAGCAAGTTCAAAAATCCAGAAGGGCAAAAGTTAACTCCTGTCACTCTATGTGGAACATCTGGAGCAAGCTGTGGTGAGTTGTGAGCTCCAGATGGCTTGCCGGGCCCCGCCCATGTGGAGCTTCTGTTGGTTCTAGCTACCAGGGCTTCTCTCCTAGGCCCTCTGCTTATTCCTTGCAGCTTTCCTTACATGATCCACATTCCTGTTGTTTCCAAACTTCTGCGTTCTCCACTTCACCTTTGGCTTCACACTTGTAACTCCGCACACCGCTTTCTCAGGAGCACACTGCCTGGCCTCACAGGCCTCCTTCTCAAATCTGCGTAGAAATCTTCTTAAACTCAGAACTCTTGCATTCCGCATGCACCTACAACCAGCACTACATGGAGGATGCCAAGGCCCACCAGCAGCTGGAGGAGTGTCCAGCTTCCCTCTCTCAGCTGGAGGGGCCAAGTGCCCGGATCGCGGAGCACTCTGAGTGCAGTTCTGAGGAGCAAGTTCTCTGCACTGCTGCCATTCTGGAACCTGGTGCAGCTGCTGCTATTCTGGAACGTGGCTCTCTGTGACTTCCTCCTCACAGCAAACTCTCACTTTTGAGGCTGTGAAGAGTAGAGTGAGTCCTGCTGCTCCTTGTGATGCCCTCAGGCCACCTTTTCTAGTCTCCTGTTCCTCCTCAGCAGTGGATATCTCCTTAGCTCTTTCTTTGCAGTCCACAGCTGTACTGGAGCTTTTTTCCTGGCCAAACTCACAGTGTTTTAAGTCATTCTGCTGGGGGTTTTGCTCTTGTTTCTCAACATATAAATCGGACTAAGATCTCCCAACAGTAGCCATCACACGGCCCCAACATTAGACTGCCTTCAACTTTCTCCCACCAGATTAACTAGTAGTGGTCCACCGTTAATTGCAGTCTAGGGCAAAGTCTCTAGGTACAAGCAAAATGCAGACAAACTTTCTGCCAAGCCATAGCATGCATCCTCTGGAGCCCAGCAGCCAGGGCAGGCCTTCCCAGCAGAAACCTCCCAAGCCTGCTCTTTGCAGGCAGGATTCCTGTCAGCACGCTGGTTTTCCAAGCTCTGACCACAGTCTCCCACACAGAACAGCCGAAGTTATTCCAGCTGTGCTCTTTCAGGTGACATCTCCAAGCCTTTACAAATGCTTCTCAGAAGCCTTTCCCAACAGTTCTTGAGCCAGATGGTCAGATATAGTGACAGCGTCGACCCTACTCTTCTGATACCAAAATCTGTCTTGGTTACTTTTCTCTTATTTCTGAGACAAATACCCAAGGCTCAAAAGTAATAAAGAATATGTTTATTTAGGTCACCATTTGTGGAGGTTTCAGTCCACACTCCCTGACTCCACAGCAGAGTGGCACAAGGCAGAGGGCTCATGGTGGTAGAAAACAGCAAAACCTGCAGGCGCAAAAGAGAGGAGCAGCGCAGGAGCCAGCCTCTCTCCCTTGCCTGTGTTGTGTGCAGGCTGCCTGCCCAGGGCAGGTGTCGTACTCACATGGAGCATTGGATCAGGAAACAGTCCAAGCCCTAGAAGCCTGGCCCATGACTGCATGAGGCTTTGGGGGCATCCAGACACAAACCATAACAGAAACCTACATTTCAGAGGCCGTGTTTGTAGACAGAAGTGACAACATACCGCTGGCCATTGATGAGTCACCAGCTTGTTTCATTATTGAAGCTGACTAGTGCTGGTCAGCAAGGGATTGGTGTCTTAGTCCCATTTCCCAGGATCCCCCAGGAAGGATTTCATTGAAAAGGGGACAAGGCGGCAAATTGAGCAGAGGGCATAGGCAAGAGGAAGGAAGAGAACTGCCCTGGAACAGTTGCCTGGGTCTAACGAGCTATTTTTGCCACATGGTCCTGGTGGCTGCTTTGGTGGGAATTGGCTTTGCCTGCTTCCCTCTGCCCACAGTGCTGTTTCCTGTCTCACATGCACACCAGTGGACAGGAGGACAGGAGGGCAGCCCTGCAGGCTCCCAGCACTTCTTCAAGTCCCTGTAGAATCAGCCAGTGGCCTGTGTCTGTGTCATGCTGTCCCCTGAGGCCCAGAGGCCTGGACAGCAGCTGAGCTGAGGAGCACGGGGCATCGTGTTGGTCCGTGTGTTCTGGTATTAGATGAGCGTCATCGTTCCTGACGGTCTGGCCATCAGCGACCACCAGTGGCTGGAGGCAGCATCTAACAGAAACAGAAAAGGCTGGCCGATGC